CATTGGTTTTCTAGCCTGGTTGCATATTATATGACTTAGGGCACTTTAAAAATGATCAAAGATGCCAGAGAGGATCCCACCTCAAGACATGTGATATAACTGACTTGGGATGGGGCCCAAAAGCCACTGGCATGGGGAATGCAACATATGTCCACTTCATGATCTGCAAAACAGGGATGTGTCCTGGGCTGTATGTAGTAACTCTACACCTTGACATTGGTCACCATGTGCCCTCACATAATCTCTTTGCTTCATTCCCCTTATGGATGAAGCACATGTGCTTACTTCTTATAAGCATCAAGGGATAAGGTAATATCACTTAAAGCATAAAAACACCATAAAGAACTTCACAGGTGGTCTGTGGTAAGGTCCTTGGGTCTAACGTTCTGTTAATGGGATCCAACTTTACTAGGGATGAACTCTGGGTAAAAGATCTAACAAAAAATATTCTAGGTAGGATCTCTAAAATGAAAATAACCTCAGGATCAGAATCAACTTATTTTCTTTACTCTTAAAGACATATTTTCCATAATAATAGTTTAGGAAGAGCTAGCCAAACTTAAAACAGCACTTCTTAGTATAGGTACCTGAGGTGCTGCTTTTCCTTGTGTATAGCCATAAGAACATCTGAAGACAAAGGTAAAATCTAGAGGGATTGATCATATGAGTCTATATTTTTAAATCTTCAAAAAATGTGGGGGTGGGGGCTGGAGAGATGACTGAGCAGTTAAGAACAATAGCTGCTCTTAGAGATGACCTGGATTCAATTCTCAGCACTCGCGTGGCACCTAAAAACCATCCATAACTCTAGTTCCAGGGGATCCAATGCCCTTTTCTGAGCTCCACAGGCATTGCATGACACAGGTGCACTTATATAGATGCAAACAATACATTCATACACAAAAATAAAAATAATAAATAAAACATTTTTCTTGGTCTTTTTTTGAGACAGGGTCTCCCTGTAGGCCCAGCTGTCCTGGATTCACTATGTAGACCAGGCTGGCCTTGAACTCACAGAGATCTGCCTGCCTCTGCCTCCCAAGTGCTGGGATTAAAGGTATGCACCACCACACCTGGCGAATAAAATATTTTTAAAAACTTGTGTGTGTGGCATATGTATGTGTGTGCATTTGCCCATGGATAAACGCATGGAGGCCAGAGGTTGACAACAGTTGTCTTCCTTTGTTACTCTCCACCTTATTGTTTAAGGCAGGGTCTCTCACTCAGCCTGGAGCTTACTATGACGGCTAGAGTGGCTGGCTAGTGAGCCTCCAGGAACCTCTTGTCTCTGTCTGCTCAGTTTTGGGGTTACAGACACATACAATTGCACTAGGCTTTTATATGAGGACTAGAGGTCCAAGCTCAGCAAGCATCTTACCCACTGAGACATCTCCCCAGTCCTAAATTTATTTTTCATATAAGGAATGCTCAGTGCTTCTGCTTGGGTGATATGAATCAAAGGATTCTACTCCCAAGGCCTAGACCTGTGCTGGTTTGGTAGAAAGTGGTCAAAGTTTGTGGATTTTAAGCATAGTGCTGCTTCAGAGTCAACTCCAATTGTGTAAAATGACGAGGGAACCCCAACCCAGTTATGTGGAATCAGATTACCCTTGAGAAATGGTTGGACACTTATAGCCATAATAGATTACTCAGGTGGTTCTAAAGCTACCTGGCCACCCAGGTCAGAGAGATAAAGTGTATGTGGGAACCAGAGGTACAACTCAGGGCTTCTCAAAGTTCAACGTCCATATAACCAGTAGGAAATCTTATTAAGAGCAAGATTTTGGGTTCAACTGGCCCTGCGTGGAGTTTGAGATTCCTCCTCTATTACGAATTCCCAGGTACGATTTGCTGCTGCTTTTGAGTCACGGAGACCTTGGTCACATAGAAACAGACTCAAACTACTCTCCAATGAATAGGTTATGGATTTCAGTGATGAATAACCTGGTAGTGTAAGTACAATGAAAGGACTCATCATGAAGCACTTCATTTCTATCCCTGTTTAATGAGAGTTTGACTAAAGGTCATGAATTCCTGGTGCCAAATGACACTGGATGTGGCAGAAATCAAGGTGAACATTCTAGAACCCAGTAATGTGTTTCTAATACAGAGGAGCACCAAGGATACCCAAAGATATCCATCAGGCTGATTTCATTTTCTTTTTCCATGTCTGTGTCCACATTTAATGGAGAAATCTATGTGATGACATTGCATTTGAATTCATATATGAAAACCAGGAGATGACAAGGGTGCTACCAACAGCGACTGACAGAGTAGTGGAAATACATGATTTTCAAGACAGATTAATTGCTACTCATTTCCGTGTTACCTTAAAAAGGTCTGACAATGCACAGTTTTTGAGATAGGACAAGCAGCATCCCTTACAATGGATTTCATGCCATTACTGAGTACCCCACTGATACAATAAAAGGCTGACTCATTTCCTTCTCTCTGTGTGATCTGGTACAATAGAAACTGGAATACCATATGCTGGGTCTAAAATGCTCAGTAGGTCCAGTAGCTCATGGTGAGTCTGCCAGCTTTTAGGTGGTGCTCAGTGTGGAAAAAAGCAATGAGCAAATCACCGCTGTACAGACTACATTGGAGGTTTCTGAGATTTCATCAGATAATCATTAACTCCAGTGGCCAAGCAGATGGATGTCTGACATGCTCTCTTAAAACCTTCAAGCGCTCCTCTTTGTTGTTTCTTTCCCAATTTCCTGCCTGTGCCTGACTTGCTCGCAGTGCTCCTGTGCACCTGGCTTCTAATAGAGCCCATAATGAGAATATTTATTTCCTTGTCTTTCTCCATCAAAATTGTCAGGAATGTCAGCCCAGCTCAAGGAAGCGGATTTCAGTGCTTCTGACTGCTGCCAGTGGAGACAAGCACACTTCAGTAGATGTCTAAGGATGTTTTCAATAACTTTCTCTGTGGGGGAGGTGGGGGGCAGGGAGAGTCAGCGTCTCACTGTGAGGCAGTACAGCTTCACTGCATTTGGTGTCTTTACTGGAGCCATCATTATAATACGGAGGAACGGTACTTTAAAAATATTCTGATTAACTGCTAGGGTTGCAGTCATGTTACCGAAGCATAATGCTGTTAAGGATTTCTGCAGAAGAAATTAGCAAAAGCTCCCATTTTCATTTTGATCAGATTTCGTATTTAGAAATGCTAGCCTGAACAATTTTCACATAAATCAAAATACATATCTGTGCTTAAGTGGTTTCCTTGTAGAAAGGATAGGCCCTCAATAATACAACAGACTTGATACAATGTTAAGCATTTGTTGAGTTACAACTATGAAATAGTATGACCAAAAATGATCTGAGAGATTCTTTGAAAATTTATTTCAAAGAATAAATGAATTTGAAGGGAAAATGAAGTCCTAAGAAATAAACCCATTTCCAAAAATACAAACCTCAGAAATCTAAACAGAACCTGTGTCCATCTTCAAGAGCCAAAAATCCTAACAATTCCATGTCCTTGGTCCAGGTTTAAGTGAAGTCTGCCTTGTCTACTCCCTTTATGTTCAGTGTGCTTGAAGTACAAGCTTTTTAGCTATTTTGTTAATTGTTATTTTCCACACATTAGATGAAAAAAAGTTACAGGCATGGCTCAGTTGGTAAAGTGCTTATCATACAAGCATAAGAACCTGAATTTGAACCCAAAAGGACCCATAGAAAAAGATGTGTGTTGGTGTGTACCTATAATTCCTGGTCTAGGGAGGCAGAGACAGGTGGATCCCTATGGTTCATTGGCCAGCCTACTTGGTGAGTTCCAGACCAATGAGAAACTCTATCTCCAAAAAAATTTGGTGGTTGGTCCCTGAGGAATGTCACCCAAGGTTGACCTATGGCCTGCATGTACACACACACAGACACAGGCACAGACACACACACACACACACACACACACACACACACACACACACACACATATAGCCCCGTCACATATAGTACAAAATAAAAGAATAGTTTACAAATAGCAAGTTGTTAAATCTGCTCTTTCAATCAAGAACTATATAGAAATTAAAATTAATCATGATAGTAAATATCAAATAAACCAGCTCTAATAAGAATGGAGCTTATCTATCTTGTCATTAAAATGTTTGTGAACTAACAAGTACCACTAGCTATCAAGCCTCTACATTACTGAACCCCAAATGTGCAGTGACTGTTGCTTGGCATTACTGGTCCTTTTCACAGTCTGAAAATTACCTACAAAGCATCTCTCCATATTCTCCCTTATGAAAAATTATATTTCTCAGGGCATGAAGTATCAGAATAAATTGCTTGATTTTTCAGTGTCCTTTGCTCCTGAATATGATTAACTAGAACAGTATGTGAACGGTTTCCTCCTTAGTTCTGTTAGCTATTATCGAACACTATTAAACCCAAGTTAGCAGTGGTTGGTCAGAATCACTAGAGATCAGGGAGTTCCTTCTGGTCCTGGATGTAGAGAACCCTTGTGGATCAGAGCCTTTATTCAGTGGTGTTTAACTGGGCAGTTAGGATGAGAATGGAATTGAATCATTACATATCCAGTTGGTGTCCAGAGTGTTGGAGAATTAGTTGTTGATGTGGAAAATCAAGCCACATACATCTGGTGTCAGAAATGTTGGGAGAACAGCTCATCGATCCCTTCCTAGATCATGAATGGTATAAAATGAAGTAGTGACATCTTTTCTTTTTAACTCAGTAGAGTTGTAACAGGTACTGAATAGTTTAGCTACATCGCTAAAGCAAACACGATTCTGACTTTGACTGGAGCGTATTTCCCTGGTGCCAGGCACATGGCAGTGGTATAGTACATTTGCACAACCTGATATTTTCCTATCCTAATTATAGGAGGCATTCACAACAGCTCTTCCTGTACATAGAGGGACTCTGGGAATCTCTATAAATGACACTGTTCCCTGAGCTGCTGTCAAGACAGAGAACATTCAACAAGAAAAATATCAGCTTGTGAAACGCGCTCATGTTGGTGCATTTATAGGTACCTCCAGAATGGGGTGGCGGGCCGCACAGGAGAACCATTCCCTGACCCCGACGGACTGACACTGTGCTTCTTGTTCTTGTCTTAAAATTTTCAAGATCTGTTGGGAGAAGAAAAGGAAAACACATTTAAACTTTGCAGCCGTAAGATATCGTGGGAAAACATCAGTATTTCCGGAAGAGTTATGCTGAAAAATGTCCTGGACTGCACACGAACCAGAGAAATCTGCTTGGCTGACAGTGACAATATTTTACTGATACAGCCCCTTCCTCGTAGGTCCCATCACTAGATTGACCAACAAAACAGTCACTTGCCATGTGTGCCTATTCCGTCTCAAAAAGCACTAAAATTAAGTAAAGTTTGTCATTAATTTCCTCAGCTACTCTAGTCATGTTTTGAGTGCTCAGTAATCACATGCAATTGTTTATCACCCATTTGTTGAGGGAAATCTGGACCATTTCTAGTTTGAGGTGATTCTGATGAAGCCGCTGTAGACACTCACCTGAAAATTCTTATGTGGGAGACTCGGCTTTTAACAAGGCACTTAACCATTTTAGTAACTTTACTTTTACCACCGTTGTTCTACTCCGATTTAAAGGCAATGAGACTCCCGATGGAATCTCTGGCAGAGGGTGGCTACCCGAGACTGCACTGGACTCAGGATACTTTCATCATTCTGTAAGATTTTGCCTAACACTGTAGGCCTAGGTGAAGAAACTGAGGTTTAAAGAAGTTGTGACCCGCAATCTCTCTGTAATTAAATACTGCCATTATAATGCAAACACTTGTTTCTAATTCTATATTCAGTTCTGTTCACCTCACAAATCTATTTCATGCAATGTTACTTCTCTATATTCATATGGGTATATGCAGTTATCTCCCTCTCCTCTTTCTCTTTCTTTCTCTCTTTCACTTGCTCACTCTGGTCTTTAGAGATAGGGTCCCCAGATGTAGCCCAAACTGACCTTCAACTCACAATCTCAAACTCACCATCTTTCCGCCACAGACTTATAGGAGTCTATTTATATGTGCATACATGTATGCATACAGCACAAATAGACATATATTCACGTACAGATTATTTTGAATTATTACATACTATTAAATACTGAGAAGTAACTGCTTATTATTCTTTTTGAAAGGAACTTTCATTTTCAACCAGGAGGTAATCTGTTTAGTGAACTCAAACTCTGACAGCCCAAAGATCACAGCTTGAGGAAACAATAGTTACTTGCAAGTAAAAATAAGCCAATATACAAATACATGCAATTAAGTGACAGACCTTGTACAGCAGAGCATTGCCCCCTCTTACCTTCCCAATATTAATCCATCTCATAACAAGACAAGGAAGTGCCATTTCTCTGCCCCTCCACCTGAATCATTTGATCTAAGAACCCCATTTTGGATTTGAGGCCTGTTCTAACACAAGAATGTCACATAGGGCTGCAGGCCATGTGACAGATGGAACCCAAGGTGGGGTAACATTGATTTCTTCCTCCATATTAGCCATTTTGATGAGTATTTTATGATGATTATGTTATAAGAGACTAACAATGATTCTATCACAATTGCATGAGTTCAGTATCATCACTGTCCACATTTGCTGGCTAGAAGTGAGAGGTTGTACGAAATCTGCTAAAGGCAACAGCACTCATGAATGGCAGAGGAATGTGGACCTGGACTGGCTTTCCATAGTTGCAAATTGACATGTTTCACACTCACTTTGGTTTCAAGGAGATCTTAGAATATGTAAAGTCTATAGATAACCATTTCTTCATGCAGCTTCTTCTAGAATTAGAAAAACTTTAAACCTATGCATTAGTTTTCATGACATGTTTATAAAAACTGCATTAGGTATCATCAGATTTCCAGGTCACAATGCACACACTGTGAGAAGAGTGTACCTGTCCTATACTGACCCAGGAGCTCTGCAGACTACACTAACATAGGACCTAATTGCAGCTATCCAAGTAGCACCAGGGTGCAGGAGTGAGTGAGATGGGCAAATGGAAGACACATGCACCCAGGGCACAAAGCCAAACAGCACTATAAACTGAATTATATCTATGATGCACTGATTGTCCTTTTTATTCAAAAGATACCAGTTAATGGGTAGGAGAGCACGGCAGTTTTCTTTCTTTTGAGGAAATGTTCTTCTAAAGGAATTGAGAAGAGGTTTATAAGTAATTGCTATTGGTTAGTATTTTAAACCATTATCTGTATAAGAGATACCAATTCCGTCTGAATGATCACTTCTACAAGGAGGTTCTTTATCATGTCATCTGTGCTTTGTACAGGCATCCCATCTAGTTTTTAGAGTGGTATAAAATTAAGAATTGATAGATAATAGAGATCCAGCCCATTTAGACAAATGCAACCATGGTTCCTGGCTACATAAAAGTATGAAAAATGGGTAAGAAAATGAAAAAATATGCGATAATTTTTAACAGTCCTGCTTGAGCTTAAAGAGCTGGATCCAAATTTCCCCCTTTACTTTTTTTTTTCTGTCTTTTTGAGACAGGGTCTCCCTGTAGCCCCAGCTGTCTGGAAACTCACTATGTAGACCAGGCTAGCCTTGAACTCACAGAGATCTGCCTGCCTCTGCCTCCCAAGTGCTGGGATTAAAGGCATGCCATCCAGTTCTACAATATTTGAACATTCAGAGTGTACTGCATTTACCTGTCATTTGAGAAAATATTTAGAAACATTCATTTATAGTTAATAAAAGAATATTCCAGATGGTAGACCTTACCACACACTGAATAGAAAGACTATATTTGGGCAGATTTGAGTTTAAAAACCATCTCTGTCTCCTATTAGATGAGCTGACCTTAGACAAGTCTTAATCTTATTGTAGTAAATTGATAATTTTATGTGCTTTTTTAAAAATTAAGAATCTTGGTAAAATTGAAAAGAAATAAATATTATAAAAGTGCGTATGGACAAAGCATTCCATATTTTAAGGTTGGTGGCGAATATATGCTCCTGTTCATTAAGGAACCTTGACCCAATGAAAAAGTATACCTTAAGAATTTCATTTAATTGGGACTGGAGAGATGACTCAATGGTTAAGAATACTGGCTGTTCTTGCAGAAGTCCTGGGTTCAAATCCCAGCACCCACATGGCAGCTAACAACTGTCTATAACTCTAATTCCAGGGGATTCAACAGCCTCTTCTGTCCTCTGTGGGCACTGCATGACATGGGTGCACTTATACACATGCAGGGATAACACTCACACATAAAAATGAATAAATAAGTTTTTGAAAAAGAATCTCACTTAAAGCAGATTTCTAAGATGCAAAGACATGCCAAAGTAAGCTGTGGATGCTAAGCAAAATAAACGACATGTATGCACGTATTTAGGAAAATATGACAGGCCCCAAATTGATCTTCTCAGATATTATAATCTATTCAGAGTCTAACTGCTAGCTAGTGACATGATAATTTTCCAAGTCAAAG